AAAGAAAGAAAGAAAGAAAGAAAGAAAGAAAGAAAGAAAGAAAGAGACAGAGAGAGAGAAAGGAGGGAGGAAGGAATGGAAGCTGGGTGGGAAGGAAGGAAGGAAGAAGGGAGAGAAGGGGAAGGAAGGAAGGAAGGGAGAGAGGGAGGGAGGGAGAGAGGAAGGAAGGAAAAGGAGGGGGAGAAAAAAGGGAAGGGAGGGAAGGAATGAAGGAAGGGAGAGAGGGAGGGAGGGAAGGAAGAAAGGAAGGAAGGAAGGAACGAAGGAAGAAAAAGGGAAAGGAGGGAGGAAGGAGGGAAGAGAATGAAGGAGGGGAGAGAGAAAGATGAAAGAAAGGAGAGAAGGAAGGAAGAAAGAAGGGAGAAAGGGAAAGGAAGGAAGAGAGAGAAACTAGGAACGGAAAGAGAGGAGAGAGAAAGGGGGGAATGGAATGAAGAAAGGGAGAGGGAGGGAGGAAGAAAAGGAGGGAGGGAGAAAAAAGGAAAGGAGGGAGGAAGGAGGGAAGAGAATGGAGGAGGGGAGAGAGAAAGCGATGAAAGAAAGGAGGAAGGAAGGAATGGAAGCTGGGTGGGAAGGAAGGAAGGAAGAAGGAGAGAAAAGGGAAAGGAGGGAGGAAGGGGGGAAGAGAGAAAGGGAGGAAAGGGACGAAGGAACGAAGGAAGGGAAAGAAAAAGGGGAAGGGGAGCCAGGCGACACCCACCTCCGAGGTCCTTCACGGGAGCATCTCTCCCCTCCTGGGGGCGGGAGGGCGGGGGAGCAGTGGGGAGGGGGCGCCGGGTGGGGGTCCCTGCGGAGGGAGGCTCGGCGGGCAGCAGCAGCGGCGGCGGCGGCTGCAATGGAGGCGCAGAGGAAACGCCGCGGCGCCCGGCCGGAAAGACTCGGGAGGAGGAGGAGGAGGAAGGGAGGAATTTGGGGAAGGGAGGAGCGGAGCAGCAGCAGCAGGAGGAGGAGGAGGAGGAGGAGGAGGGGGGGGAGGAGAGGGGGGGGGGGGGGGGGGGGGGGGGGGGGGGATTTTGCAGCCGGTCACCCGGGGACACCCCATTTCTGGGTCTAGCCCCCCATTTATGGATCTGGGGGGGCATTTTGGTTTCTAGGGCCCCCCACCTCCCATTTATGGATCTAGGAGCCCCCCATTTCTGGATCTAGGGTCCCCTGCCCCATTTAGGGATCTGGGGGGGGCATTTTGGGGTCTAGGGCCCCCCACCTCCCATTTATGAATGTAAGCTGCCTTAAAACAGCCCCCCCCCCAATGAGGACTTGGAGGTTCCCCCCAAAAAAGAGGTTGGGTTTGAGAGTTGGGGTGCAATGCCGTGGCACCCCTGTTCTCCCCTTGCAAGGGGTGCCCTTATAGGGGTTTCTCCCCCGCCCCCTCCGGCTCAGACCAAGGTTTTCTGGGCCCCCCCTCCCTCTCCTGCCCATCCAGCCGGGTCCAGAGGTGCCACGTTGGTCCTTCGGGTCTCCTTCGGGGGTGGGGCAGCCTCTTTTGGAGGCCTCCAGAGTCCAAGTTCTTCCGCGCTTAATCCAGAAGGGCCCCGTCAGCCCCACGTCCACCTCCTGCCCAGCCCCAGCCTCCAATCGGCCTCTGGAGAAGCCCACCAGGCCGAGATCAACCAATCGATCGGAATAGAGCTGGAGGGGACCCTTGGAGGTCTTCTATTCCAACCCCCGGGCTCAGCAGGAGACCCTAAACCAGGGGTCTCCACACTTGACAGCTTGAAGACTTGTGGACTTCCAACTCCCAGAATTCTTCCTCCAGTCAGGTTAGCTCAAGGATTCTGGGAGTTGAAGTCCACAAGTCTTAAACTTGCCAAGTTTGAAGACCCTTGATCTAGTCTATCAGTTGTGGCTCCGGGCTTGGATTCAGCTCCTGTGACTGATATGAGTTCAAGTGAGGAGGACATGGCAGAAAAATATGAGCCGGCACGGCTCAGTGATTGGACTGATAACCAGGATGAGGAGATGGACGGGACAAAGGACGACAGACCTGATGTATTAGAATTGTCAGGACCTTTGACCTCCTCTGGTTCCTTATCTGATCAACAGCCGGGAATGGCTGACAGGGAAGTTTTGAGAGAGTCTTCTAGTGGAGATGAGAACTTGGAAAATTTGTGGTTAAATGTAAAAAATAGAAGACGGTTGAAAAGGCAAAATCAGCTGGAGCGAATGAGAAGAGCAAGTCAGTAAATTAGCACGTTGCCTCAATGAGTATAAAAGGACACAGCTGGGCTGGTACATTTTGCCAGGAACAAAATGACTATTTGAGTGAGGACGTTACAGCGAAGAAGCTCTGAGGCTGAGGATTTATTGCCAGGACTGGTTTGCCGGACAGAGTAAAGATTTATGCTGTGGTTTCTGCCAGCCGTTAGTTTGATTTAATTGTGAAGCGGCTGCTTTCTGTTTTGTTCGTTTGAATTTCGAAGGGGAGTCATAACATCTATCTATCCTATTTCTCTCTTTCTATCTATTCTACCTCTCTTTATCTATTCTATCTATTCTATCTTTTTCTCTCTTCCCCCTCTATCTATCTATTTTATCTCTCTTTCTCTGTGTATCTATTCCAGGGGTCTTCAAAGTTGACGGCTTTAAGACTTGTGGACTTCCAACTCCCAGAATTCCTCCTCCTCCAGTCAGGTTAGCTCAAGGATTCTGGGAGTTGAAGTCCACAAATCTTAAAACTTGCCAAGTTGGAAGGCCCTTGCCCTATACGGTTGCAGAACAAGTGGTTTTCCCATCTCTTCTTGAAAACCTCCATTGGCTGCCTTGAACCCCTTTACAAGAGGGGTGTGTGTGTGTGTTTCTGTGTGTGTGTGTGTGTGTGTGTGTGTGTGTAGCATTTGCAAGGGGGCAGCCAGGACCGGGGCAGACCCCTGGTGAAGAGGGTGATGGCCATCCTTTGGAGAGGAAGTGAATGTTGCTTTGCTGGCTGGGGAATTCTGGGAGTTGAAGTCCTCCAGGCTTAAAGTGGCCAAGGTCGGAGACCCCTGCCTTAAAGGATCCAGCGTGGGACACCCCCTCCCTCCCCCCCCCATGGATTGGTCTGCTGCCCGCAACAAACCCATGATGTCACTTGCTTGGTTATAAATCACCCTTGTTGCACAAGGTGTGACATTTGCGAGCCAGGAAATGCTTTGGCAGCCAGAGGTTGTCACGGTGATTACTCTGGGCGGTTGAAGGCCACAAGGGACGAGTGGATAGTGCAAAGGGCCTTGGGGTAGAGAGGACTGCGGCCTTATCTCACCAAGCTTTGCGCTCCCCACCTCAAGCAGCCAGGAACGAGGGCCAGGTAAACAACAAAGTGGAAGGGCAGAATTGTTAGGAAACAGAGCACCGAGGAAGCACTGATGATGTTACCTAGCTGGGTTATGAAATGTCTGCAATGAACAAGGTCAGAGAGATGGAAGGGAGGGAGGGAGAGAGGGAGGGTGAGGGAGAGGAGGGAAGGAAGGAAAACAGGAAAGTAGGAAGGATGATGGAAGGGAGGGAGAAAGGAAGGGGGAGGGGGGAGGAAGGAAAGAAGGGCGGGGGAGGGAAGGAGGGAGGGTGATGGGAGGGAAAAAAGAGGGAGAGGAAGGAAAGAATGGGAAGGAAGGAGAGGGGAGAGGGGGAGGGAAGAAGGAAGGAAGGAGGATGGGAGGGAGAAAAGAAGGAAGGGGAAAGGAGAGGAGGGAAGGGAGGAAGGATGATGGAAGGGAGGGAAAAAGGAAGGAAGGGAGGAAGGAAAGAACGAAGGAGGGAGGGAGGATGATGGGAAGGAGAAAAGGAAGGAAGGGGAA